GAGTTATTAAAACACCAGTTTTAGAAATGATTTATTAATCTGAAACGTTCATAGTCATGGGTCACTGAACTATGACGACACAGAAGAAAGTGGGTGAAACCTCACTGTAAAGTGAGGTTTCTGTACAGTATTCCCTTATCTGTCCACCCTCACTCATCTTGTTTCATCACAGAAAATGTATATAACAAGATTTCAACACATTAGCTAGCTATGCACGCTTCAGCCTTTAAATTAATTTACAAAGATACGTGTGCCACAAATCAGTGAACGAATATCATTGAAACGAAGTCGTTCACTTGTGTGGACCATTCTGGCTGGTATTTGGTTAAATTAATAAGCGTCACTTGTTGTGTGGACCATTCTGGCTGTTGTTTGGTTCATATGGTTCACTTGTTGTGTGGTCCACTTGTGTGATCCAACTAGTCTTATGAAGGAATTATTAATTGTAATTGTGATAGAATGAGAGTTTTCCACCACTCTGTGAACTCTGTCCCAACATTGTAAGCTTGTAAGCGAGGGAGCCGGTCGGCCGAGCAGACAGCACGCTGGACTTGTGATCCTATGGTCCCGGGTTCGATCCCGGGTGCTGGCGAGAAACAATGGGCAGAGTTTCTTTCACCCTATGCCCCTGTTACCTAGCAGTAAAATAGGTACCTGGGTGTTAGTCAGCTGTCACTGGCTGCTTCCTGGGGGTGGAGGCCTGGTCGAGGACCGGGCCGCGGGGACACTAAGCCCCAAAATCATCTCAAGATAACCACAAGATTGTGGACCACTTGTGGTCCACTTGTGTGATCCAACTTGTCATCTGAAGGAATTATTAATTGTAACCTGTGATGGAATGGGAAAGTTTTCCACCACTCTGTGAACTCTGTCCCAACATTGTAAGCTTATGGACTACTTGTGCGGTCCCCTTGTGTGATCGAACTTGTCATATGAGCGAATTATTAATTGTAATCTGTGATAGAATGGGAAAGTTTTCCACCAGTCTGTGAACTCTGTCTCGACATTGTAAGCAAATCCGAACATGCCCCGCTTCGGCGAACCATTGTTCATTGAACTGGGTGAGTAAATCCGGCCTGAAAAATGTGCGAACTAGCCGGAGATTCGTTGAATCGAGGTTGTACTGAAGTTCTAATTCGTTAATTGTATGTTTATTAAAACATTGTTTGGCATTCGTACTCGAATATGTGAAAGTTGTGGGTCAATATGTGTTGAAATGAAGTCAAGGAAAAATAACCCTGCAAAAAAAATATACAGTATAGGGATAATTATAATAATTATAATGATTTAGGAGATATATTTAGGGTATACTTTATATAAGTGAAAAACCCTAATGTTGTCCCTAATCATCAAAACATCCTAAAGTGACAAAGAAAATACAGTTTGAAATCTGTGAAAAAATCAGCCAAAAAAATTCAGTCCCAAGTTCTGCGAGTTATGACTGATTTTTTTTGTTGGCCAATTTCATTCTATTCTCACATAGGGAAGGGTATGCACTCTCCAGGATGTAAAGGGTACAACAAAATCAGATAATAAACAAAGAAGATAAAAACTGAACTCTTGAAAAAATATAAATCCCCTAAAAATTTTTTTTTTTTTTGTGGGGGGGCAATGATGAAAGTAACATTAACATTGGGCAATATCTTTATATGATATATAACAAAATAGAGCATAATGGCATACTTACCCATTATTATTTGTGGTATTATGTATTACTCAGCTATGCTATAAAGGCACCGGCTTCATATTCACTTTGTGGACACTTCTTAGTACACTTCTTAGTACCCTGTACAATTCTTATTCTTTGAGCGTCTGACAGGGGCTTGCATCTCTTTATTACTGCATTATCCCTTAGTTCCAGTTAACAGTTAATAGGAGCTGTTCTCCTTATCAACAAAGCATTCTTTTTAAAACGAAGCTTCTTGCAGGCAGCTTTGTCTAGTTGTCGTCCTATGTCAGACTTGTTGCTTATCTGGGGTGGCCATTCTCGGCCTTCTCAGAAAGATCATACCAGGGCTCGGAGTTCCTCTGTTCGGGGTGGGCTATTTGTACCAGCTTCTGAGCCGGCGCTTCCTTCAGAGCCGGCGTCGTCTGGTCGGCACCGTGATCGCTCTTCTCGTCGGCCTGCTTATTGTAAGGGGGGATGGTGTGGAGGCTCACGCTGTTAGCTCACGCTTGGTCCCATGATTCGTTGGCGTTTCGGGTCATCTCCTCCGGCCTGTAGTGGCGTTGGGCGGCGGCTGCTCCTGAGGTTTCAGGGCTCACGGGGCAGGCTTCTTCCTCTGCACTCCGTCGGGTCACCTTGGAGTGGGTGCACTTGGGCGTGGTCAAAACAACTTCATCCCTCAGGTGGGTTTCCCGCCTGTTTCCATTGCTGAAACGGGAATGTGCAGATCTCCAGTTCATTCTGGACTTATCCCGTCTTCTTGAGGTTATCTTGAGATGATTTCGGGGTTTTAGTGTCCCCGCGGCCCGGTCTTCAACCAGGCTTCCACCCCCCAGGAAGCAGCCCGTGACAGCTGACTAACATCCAGGTATCTATTTTACTGCTAGGTAACAGGGGCATAGGGTGAAAGAAACTTTGCCCATTGTTTCTCGCCGGCGCCTGGGATCGAACCCGGGACCACAGGATCACAAGACCAGCGTGCTCTCCGCTCGGCCGACCGTCTAAACCCCTGGATTCCTTGCCCCTCCTTTTGGATGACCACACTGTCTCGGGTCCGGCTTCTTTTGGAGCCAGGTGCTTGGATGGTGTCTCTGGACCTCCAGGGTGCGTATTGGCATGTTACCATTCATCCGGGGTTCAAGGACTGGTTAAGATTTGTGGTGGGGTAGTAGGCTTACTGCTTTCGTAGTCTTCCTTTTGGCTTGAGTCTGGCACTTTGTGTATTCACACATCTACCCGGGTCGTGGTGACCGGTCTGCTACTGCTAGGGGTTTGGGTTCTGGCCTACCTCGACAACTGGTTGGTGTGAGCTCCCAGCTGGTCTGCTTGTCTACTCACTAGGAGTGTGGTTTTTTCCCAGCTCACTGGGTTCAGATTCCTGGTGATTTGGAGGAAGTCCCACCTGGTTCTGTCCCAGGTTTGGACTTGCCTGGTGTTACAGTCACTATGGACCAGTAACCGGGTTCTTGATGGATGAACCTTGTATCCGACCCCGAGCTGGTAGTGGCTTTCAAGGAATTGGTTATATAATGCAATGAATTACTAAGGGAGGGATGAACAAAACACTATTCCCTTTTTAAATATATTTGCCTCCAGCATTAAAATATATATATTAGAATGAGTAGACTATTCCTACACCTATGTACAGTGATACCCTTTCACACAAGATATCAAACGCGCTCACATGCAGTGTTCAACAATCGCCAGTGTTTCTTTCCACCCAGTACCTTGTCCAACCGTACTGGAAAACATTGGTGAGTTTCACCTTGTACGTGGGCCAGCCAACTGACAGTATCACGAAGTGCCTATACCCCATGACCACCCTCCAGCCACTTGCTGGCAGAGTACCTCAGCCACACACTGATCGGGACCACAAAGCAATTGATACAGGGGTAGCGAACCCCTGGCAGAAGCCTCAGCGTCCGGCTAGAAGCACTTCTCAACAGGCACCTCACTGTCGTTCGTTTCTCTCCTAAGCCAGTCCCAGGGTACGCCGATCTCTTTCAATACTACCTAAACAGCAGTCAACGCACACTGCTTTAGATCGGCGGCAGCTTACTTAATCGTCTTGCAGGACTAAGTCGGGAGAATGTTGGCTGCCCAAGGTAAACTGCTATCCTCAGCACAACTGCCTCCAGACGGCACTTCTTTGGACACAAACACGTCATCAGTTAATTGGACAGTACAGGCGAAACCAGGAGGTAACACACTCTGGGGATGTTGACATCGTGCTCCGTAGCACAACAGATGGCACTGATCTTGAGCCACCACCTCACCAGAGGTCACCCACGACGACCTCTCTGCCTGACCAAGGCAGGAAACTTGAGCCATTTGCCACGATCACGCCACCACCCAAAGATGGCGTTGTCTACGTAGTGTCCAATTCCAGGGGAGTTTGAGTACAGACTCAAAGATGGCGCTGGAATTATCAGGCCATACTCAGACGGTGGTGATGAGTCCGTAACACCTGGGTCTTGTTTGCGACTCGCGGACAGCTTCCTTGTCTTTCCCTCTGGAGGCATTGCTGCGGCTGCAGTCCCACCTTCAGCTGTTTCTGGGGAGGTCCCGGGTCACTCGGAGGTTGCTCGAGCAGTTTTGAGGGAGTCTGGACTTCGCCGTGCTGGTTTACCCGCTGGGTCAGATTTGGCTTTGGCGTCTGTTCTGGTTCCTTCAGGGATGCCCCTTCTGCCTGGAATGTGAGATCTTGCAGATTACCCTAATATTCGGGTTACTGGACTGCAAATTGAGCTCTTGCTATCCCATTTAAATGGGATTGCTTCGGCATTATATGGGAAGCTTCCAAATATTTGAATGATATTAAACCCTTCAAGAGCACAAATATTCCTGACATTTGTATTCCCTGTATGTACAATGCAAAATACAGTATATTAAATAAAACAAATTTGATTTTAATCTTTTAAAAATAAACATTAATATTATAGAGAATGTGATTATTTTTTTAAATTCCTTGTACTAGTATTTCCTTTGTTATGCAAAGTTTAAAATTAATTATATTTTGATAGTCATATAGTGTCTTGAAATTTAAATGTACAGCAAGTGTTTCCCTCATAATTAAATGTTTTCTATTATAGGATTCACTCACTTTACATGATCATAATTGATTTAATTGTTTTGTTATCAACCCCTTGCCAATTCCCATCCCACAAGCACTTCCTCCCAATATTTTACCAGCTGCACAATACTGCTCTAATACATTGTAAATGAAATCTGTGAATGTGTTGAAAGCATAATTCAAATAAGAGTTCTACTGTTTGGAACAGTAATATGAATTATAAAATCCTAAACCTAATGGTTTACCTGTGTGTTCATCCAGGCCCAAGGTGTTAGCATGCCAGAGGCTGGAGAAAAGAGACCTCGTCCGGGAACCAGAATCCGACCTAAAAAAAATAAGAAAGAGGAGAAAACAGAAGAACAAGGTAAGCATAAATAACTCAAGGGAAAGTGTGTGTAGTTTAAACAGTAACAGGTCTTTCGTTGCTACAGTATTTTTGTATGCACTGCTATATTTGGTGATTTATCCAATTTCTTGTAAGGGAATTTCTTTGGAGGAGCCTGACAGCTGAGTGGACAGAGCTTCGGATTCGTAGTCCTGAGGTTCCGGGTTCGATCCCCGGTGGAGACAAACAAATGGACAATTTCTTTCACCCTGATGCCCCTGTTATCTAGCAGTAAATAGATCCCTGGGAGTTAGACAGCTGCTACGGGCTGCATGCCTTGGCAAAAAATTATAGGCCAGTTGCACTAACATCACACATAATAAAAGTGTTTGAAAGAGTGATTAGGAATCAAATTTCTAGTTTTATGGAAAACAATGACTTGCACAATCCAGGACAACATGGATTTAGAGCGGGAAGATACTGTCTGTCACAGTTACTCAACCACTATGACAAAATCACAGAAGCCCTAGAAGAAAAGCAAAATGCAGATGTTGTATACACAGACTTTGCAAAGGCGTTCGACAAATGTGACCATGGGGTGATAGCTCACAAAATGAGGTCAATGGGAATAACTGGAAAAGTAGGACACTGGATACTCAATTTCCTGTCAAACAGAACACAAAGAGTAACAGTCAATCAGATAAAATCGAGTTCAAGCGATGTTAAAAGCTCTGTACCTCAAGGTACAGTCCTTGCACCGCTACTGTTCCTTATTCTCATATTTGATATAGACAAAAATACACGTCACAGCTTCGTGTCGTCCTTTGCAGATGACACAAAAATCAGCATGAAAATTACCTCTGCTGAAGACATTGAAAAACTACAAGCAGACATCAACAAAGTTTTCGATTGGGCAGCAGAAAATAACATGATGTTTAACAGTGATAAATTTCAGGTACTCAGGTACGGCAAAAATGAGGATCTGAAACATAATACAGGGTACAAAACACAATCGAATCTTTCCATAGTAGAAAAACAGCATGTCAAGGATTTGAGAATAATGATGTCCGACGATCTAACATTTAGGGAGCATAACCAAGCAAATATTGCGTCGGCCAGAAAAATGATCGGATGCAGGCGATGAGTCACAATAACGTGGCTGAAGTATGTTGACCAGACCACACACTAGAAATTGAAGGGACGACGACGTTTTGGTCCGTCCTGGACCATTCTCAAGTCGATTGTGACTTGAGAATGGTCCAATTGAGAATTGAGAATTGTGACTTGAGTCGATCACAATCGACTTGAGAATGGTCCAGGACGGACCGAAACATCGTCGTCCCTTCAATTTCTAGTGTGTGGTCTGGTCAACAATGATCGGATGGATTACGAGAACTTTCAAATCCAGGGATCCCATCACAATGGTTGTACTCTTCAAGTCACTTGTGTTGTCCCGTCTCAAGTACTGCTCAGTACTCACTTCCCCCTTCAGAGCAGGAGAGATTGCTGAAATAGAGGGAATACAGAGAACATATACGGCACGCATAGACGAGATAAAACGCCTAAATTATTGGGATTGTCTCAAAGCTCTCCAAATGTACTCTCTAGAAAGGAGACGAGAGAGATACCAAATAATATACACATGGAAAATACTGGAGGGCCAGGTCCCAAATCTACACAGTAAAATAACAACATACTGGAGTGAACGATATGGAAGAAAATGCAAGATTGAACCAGTAAAGAGCAGAGGTGCCATAGGCACAATCAGAGAGTGCTGTATAAACATCAGAGGTCCGCGGTTGTTCAACGTCCTCCCAGCGGCTATAAGAAATATTGCCGGAACAACCGGGGGACATCTTCAAGAGAGAACTGGACTGTTTTCTAAGAGAAGTTCCAGATCAGCCGGGCTGTGGTGGGTATGTGGCCCTGCGGGCCGCTCCAAGTAACAGCCTGGTGGACCAAACTCTCACAAGTCGAGCTTGGCCTCGGGCCGGGCTTGGGGAGTAGAAGAACTCCCAGAACCCCATCAAGCAGGTATCAAACAGGTATGCATTATGGGGGTGTGTAACAAAAAGTAGGACTGGTCAAGGATCGGACTGCGGGGACGCTAAGCCCCGAAATCATCTCAAGATAACCTCAAGATAATTAATTTGTAAAAATTTGATTTTGAGGTTCTTTATATTCTGTATAGAGATTTGTTTATATAAATTCTTTGAAGTATTTTGCAGGGGATGCTTGTCAGTGATACAGGTCTTTAGTTAAGTGCCTCCTCCCTCTTCTTCTTTCTTGAAAATTGGTTTCGCCAATTTGCTTTCTTCCAGCAACTGGGCAACTCTCCCGTCATAAGTGACTCATTAAAGATCCTTGCCAGAGGCACACTGAGGGCCTGCACTGCCTCTTTTACTATCCACGGTGTGTGTAATTACCTAAGTGTAGTTACAGGATGAGAGCTACGCTCATGGTGTCCCGTCTACCCAGCACTCTGTCATATAATGCTTTGAAGCTACTGACGGTTTTGGCCACCACCACCTTCTCGCTTAACTTGTTCCAACTGTCTACCACTCTGTTTTCGAAAGTGAATTTTCTTATATTTCTTCGGCATCTTTGTTTAGTTAGTTTCAATCTATGACCTCTTGTTCTTGAAGTTCCAGGTTTCAGGAAATCTTCCCTATTGATTTTATCAATTCCTGTTACTATTTTGTACGTAGTGATCATATCACCTCTTTTTCTTCTGTCTTATAGTTTTGGCATACTTAATGTCTATAACCTCTCCTCGTAGCTCTTGCCCATCAGTTCTGGGAGTCACTTAGTAGCATGTCTTTGCACTTTTTCCAGTTTGTTGATGTGCTTCTTAAGATATGGGCACCACACAACCGCTGCATATTTTAACATTGGCCTAACAAAAGTCGTGAACAATTTTTTTAGTATTTCACCATCCATGCATTTAAAAGCAATTCTGAAGTTAGAAAGTGTGGCATAGGCTCCTCGCACAACGTTCTTTGTGGTCCTCAGGTGATAGTTTTCTATCTAGAACCACCCTTAGATCTATTTCTTTATCAGAATTCTTTAAAGATTTCTCACATAATTTGTAGGTTGTGTAGGGTCTATGTTCTCCTATTCCATATTCCATAACATGGCATTTATTTACATTAAATTTCATTTGCCAAGTGGTGCTCCATATACTTATTTTGTCCAGGTCTTCTTGAAGGGCATGACAAGCATCTAAGTTTATCCTTCCTATTATCTTAGCATCATCAGGAAACATGTTCATATGAGTCTGTATACCAACTGCTAGATCATTTATGTAGACGATGAACATCACTGGTGTTGTTAGGCCTTTTTGTTAGGCCTTTTTGTTAGGTTTTTGTTAGGCCGACTTTTGTTAGGCCAATGTTAAAATATACAGCGGTTGTGTGGTGCCCATATCTTAAGAAGCACATCAACAAACTGGAAAAAGTGCAAAGACATGCTACTAACTGAACCCTGTACTCACCTATTTGTGCTTGCGGGGTTGAGCTTTGGCTCTTTGGTCCCGCCTCTCAACTGTCAGTCAACTGGTGGAGATTCTTGAGCCTACTGGGCTCTATCATATCTACATTTGAAACTGTGTATGGAGTTAGCCTCCACCACATCACTTCCTAGTGCATTCCATTTATTAACTACTGACACTGAAAAAATTCTTTCTAACGTCTCTGTGGCTCATCTGGGTACTAAGTTTCCACCTGTGTCCCCTTGTTCGTGTCCCTCTTGTGCCGAAGAGTTTCTTTGTCCACCCTGTCAATTCCCCTGAGAATTTTGTAGGTGGTTATCATGTCTCCCCTTACTCTTCTGTTTTCCAGGGATGTGAGGTTCAGCTCCTTTAGCCTTTCCTCGTAGCTCGTTCCTCTTAGTTCCGGGACGAGCCTGGTGGCATATCGTTGGATCTTCTCTAACTTTGTCTTGTGTTTAACTAGGTATGGACTCCAGGCTGGAGCTGCATACTCCAGGATTGGTCTTACATAAGTGGTATACAGGGTCCTGAACGATTCCTTACACAAGTTTCTAAAGGCAGTTCTTATGTTGGCCAGTCTAGCATATGCCGCTGATGATATTCTTTTGATGTGGGCCTCTGGGGACAGGTTCGGTGTGATATCAACCCCCAGATCTTTCTCTCTATTTGACTCTTGCAGGATTTCACCTCCCAGATGATACCTTGTGTTCAGCCTCCTGCTCCCTTCACCTAATTTCATTACCTTACACTTTCCTGAGTTGAACTTTAGCAGCCATTTTCTAGACCATTCCTCCAGTTTGTCCAGGTCATCCTGTAGTCTCTGTCTATCTTCATCCGTCTTGATTCTTATCATAATTTTTGCACCATCAGCAAACATTGAGAGGAATGAGTCTATACCCTCCGGAAGATCGCTTACATATATTAGAAATAGGATGGGTCCAAGTACTGAGCCCTGTGGGACTCTGCTGGTGACATCTCGCCACTCTGATGTCTCCCCCCTCACCGTTACTCGCTGTTTCCTGTTGTTTAAGTACTCCCTTATCCACGGGAGCACCTTACCTTTTACTCCTGCCTGATGCTCCAACTTTTTTTAACAGCCTTTTATGGGGTACTGTGTCAAAGGGTTTTTGGCAGTCCAGGAAAATACAGTTGCCCCACCCTTCTCTTTCCTGCCTAATTTTTGTTGCCTGGCCACAGAATTCTATTAAACCTGTGAGGCACGATTTACCATCCCTGAACCCATGTTGGTGGTGTGTTACAAAGTTATTTCCCTCCAGATGCTCTACGAGCCTTTTCCTCACGATCTTCTCCATCACCTTGCATGGTATACAAGTTAGGGAAACTGGGCTGTAGTTCAGTGCCTCTTGCCTGTCACCCTTCTTGTATATTGGGACTACATTAGCTGTCTTCCAACTTTCTGGTAAGTCTCCTGTTTCCAGTGACCTGTTATACACCATAGAGAGTGGCACACTTAGTGCTTCTGCACCTTCCTTTAGTATCCATGGTGAGATTCTGTCAGGCCCAACAGCCTTTGTTACATCCAGCTCCA